AATTTATGCTACAAAACCATTGTAATTTGATCGATATGTATGTCAAGAACAAGAATTTTTTGTTTTAATTTAATTTAATTCTCTCTCAGACTGAAAGAACTTTGCCTGTCTGCGACGCCGCAACAGTGATGAACAACAATAATGAAGTTGGTCGACAGTTCCACTGCAGCGGTCGTGATCTCCATTCAGTCAACATCGATATCTTCTCCTACCCTAGTATAAGTTAAACTAAGTCCTTCACGTGAGGCGTGTCTCGATTTTAAACTAACACAACTTCCTCGTACTATTGGTCGTCTTGCATCTCTCAGAATTCCCGTCCTAGATACAAATGATCTCCACGCCCTACCCAACAAACTGTGTGACCTAAATCACCTACAGATGTTCGATGTCTTGAATAAGCAAATTACGATGGTTTTGTAGCATAAATTTTATTTTAACTTTCACTTGTGTATGCCAGTGAAGAGAGAGAGAGAGAGAAAAATTAAAGTTGACTTTCGAGGTGCAGAATTTCAATTTCAACATGTGTGAAAAAGAAGTTTGTCAAGACAACAAATAACTCAGAATGAGCCCATTTGAAATGGAATTCTTATCAACTTCATTGTTCAGAGTAGACTTTTTAGAAGAATAGAGCGGTCTGTCTAAATACTACGCAATTCTCTTTGTGGAACTTTGGGAAGCTATAACTTTTCTTATTCGATTTTTGATGACTTCGAAACTATCGCATCTGCGAAGTATTTCAAAAACAGTATTTTTAATTCTTATTTTGTTCCAGAATCTGTAAATATGAGATACTGAAACAACTCAGCTCTCATGTTTCACACTGCAAAAGTAATGTTGTTGATAAAGAAGAATGGGAAGAAAACGTTTCTTTGGGCATTGCACTAGACTTTGTAATATTGTGGAATGGTTTTGAACAGTTTTCTGTATCAACATTGATCTCGAATAAAACGGCTTCAAAGCCTTCTCGGTTGATTATTGTGAACGAAGCTTGAGCGAATCTCACTGCAACATCTTTTCTTTCACTTGTGGAGAGAAAATAGTTAAGTGATAGGAACCCACCAATGTTCCCTTTTAACTTTTCAAACTCCTCCACTACCATCCCTTGTCCTCTATAAAGAGTTAACTCTTTCGCGACATTGGGCGACTTGAAATGTAGTTGTTCGAGTTGATTGGGAAGATCCTTGATGAAAAATCGGAGTTTAAATAGGATGTCAATGTCTTGAACACGAAGTGCTTTATTTAGCATTCGATATAAGAAGAGCTCTCTTGTGTACCACCATATGGCACGGTTCGGTCATACTTCTTGTGAAACTCTTCAACATAAGCTAGTTCCGTTTCATTCTCTTCATATTATTTTCGACATTGCTCAATAAGTTCTTCTTTACTTTCATCAGTATTCTCTATCTCAATTAAAATCTCAATGAGTAACTGAAAATACATGAAGACCACCTCTTGTTTCTCATTGCTACTATTCGATGGGGATAGGATGCCGATGGATCCGCCCACATCATCAGAGCAAACGCGAGCTTGTTCTTCTAAAGCCTCACAAATATATTTGATGTTTGTGTACACACCATGTACTTTTCGAAATTTTGTGGCCTATTTTTTCGTACCACTCTTTATTTGAGCAAAACACGTAAATGGACTGAACATGTCTTGTGTCATGAATGAGTGGAGCCACCGTTTGCCCCAGTGAGTCAGAAACGATCAAAAATATTTTTTCGGTTCCAACAAGTGATATACATTCAACACACTGATCAGTATCATCAAACGTTCTTAAATAGTTAATAGTCTGACGCAATCGAGCTTTTGCTAGACGATTATCTTCTGTACTATTGATATTAGTATCCAGCCACGCAACTGTATTGTTCTCCAAATTGCGCTCTTGATTCTTCGCAAGGCTGGATGTATAGTTACGCGAACTGTCAATCATTAGTTTCTCTCTGCCCGATAACGAATTTTGATCGCACCATTCATACACAAACGACTTGAATACTTTCCATCTCTAGGTACGCACTAAACACATGGATAAGTGTTTTCTTAGAAATAGAACTGCATATGAGAGCGAGCGACAAAATAAATCCAAATTATCGATTAGCAAAAAGGAAGAAGAACGAGAACGGTGAAACAATCAGAGATAATCTGTATTCAAACTTTAATTATTGGATAATCGGATTATTTTCTATTCGATTAAATATAATAGAATAAATGTTAAAATTTGATGGTTTTTTTGTCATGTATTCACATAAGACTATACAACTTGAGCTGTTTATCGGTATTCAAAGTTGGATTGCTTTTGTAAACCATAACTGAGAACAATGCATCGCAATCTCTCATACCAGAAAGATGACAGACCTTTGTCTCCCATTGAATAATACGTATAAATACGGTTGTAAAAATATTCTTTCTGATTGCACACAATTCTCACTTTCCAAAATAGAATCAAAATGATATTCAAAATAAGATAGTTCTTCACAAATTCAGAACGCTATTATTTGTTAGTTATTATTTTCCTTCATATACTTCTATTTTCAAACCACAATAACATGTGAGTAGCTGTCTTCTAAGCATAGTAGTTATCCTAATCATGTCTCGGAGTAATTATAAGATAGTTTAGCGAGGGGTACCGTCGAAAAGTCAAGAAAAATTTTCAAACAAATTGACGCAGAAAAATCCCCATGGTAAAATTAAACAATTTTAAAAAATTTTCTTAACGGTTTGGTGGCACCCCTCGCTAAAAATAGAAAATTTTCCGGGTTATCAGGTGTGCTGAATACGAAAAAGCACTTTTCTTTAACTCTAAATGAACTTTAATTTTTTATCGGTGATATGACATAGTGTGAATTTACTTTTGATCAGAATGTATACGCTTACCGGCTAACAGTACTCTGTCAAAATTTTGAAAGCACTCGATTCGAATGACCCATGAAAAAGTATGCTGCATTCATTCATTCTTTTAGAAGAAATCAGTTGTGTCAGACGCATGACAGCGATGAAAAGGATTGGTAAGCTATGATTTTTGCTTCGCATTTTCGGTAAATTTGAACATGTTCTATGCTTGAAACATGCCTCTAAACATGACTATGATAGGGCGAAATCTTTTATAAGTAACAAGGCATCGTGCAGCTGTTTATGTAAAAATCTGGATAAAACTACCTCACTGATCAGTTCTTAGTTGATCAGAATATTGCCATCCTTTCGATATGCTGCCACGCGATCATTGTTAAATGATGAGGTTAAAAACAATCAGACATGTTTCTGCTGAATACAATTTGTACATGCACGAAACACAACAAAATCCTCCAAAACTCTTATGTTTTATTTAGTCTTATTCCGGCTGTTTTTCTCTGATTTGTTTCTTTTAGGTACAATACCTTTACATGTAAACACGCTCTGTAAATATATCCTCCACATTTCTCCCTGTCTTTTAGCTAAAAGAACAAAACAAATTTTTTAATCAATTTATTCAAAACAGTTAGTTACCTTGACGGTCATCTGACTGCCACTTTTTATTCAAGTGAAGAAAAACAAATCTGAAACAGTTTCGCGAATATCGACTAAAGAACAGTCAGACACAGTATTCGTGTGAACGAATGACTGGCTGCTTGCAACATAAGAGCTACAAATCAAACATTCAACAGGCGATAAATACTACGCGTTACTTAAAGATCCTTACTCGACTTTCATCTCGTTTACAGCAGATTTCTCTTCATTCGCACTGAACAATGGAACAAAAGACGCTGAAACAGCCATTCACACCTTCCACATCACACGAATCAAAACATCAATCTTGCGACGAACCTGCGAATTTAGAGAGCATCACACTCATTTGGTTCGACAAAAACATCGATGTCAAAGAAGAAAAACAAACAACGAGAATGCTTCGTGACATCAATGACTACGTCGTTTTTCACTCTCAGCTTCAAACATGCGTCGATTACATCGCTTCCATCGACGATGAGAAGATCTTTCTCGTTACATCAGGTGCATGTGCAGTAGACATTGTGCCACTAACTCACACTTACAGACAACTCGACTCCATCTTCATATTCTGCATAGATCCACTCAAATACGAACACTTGCTCAACAAATATTCGACAATTGTCGGACTCTTCACCGAACAAGACGCACTAATGACAACGATCCGTGAAAACGTCAACCTGGTCGAAAAACAGATGGAAACATTTCGATTCTATGACAAAAGTCAGCAATCGACGCGAGACTTATCGAAAGAACAAGTCTCATTTCTCTGGTTTCAGCTCTTCAAAGATCTCATTCTGCGAATGCCACACATAGAGGACGCGAAACGACAAATGATCGACAAATGTCGCGAATACTACCGTGGAAACAGAAAAGAGCTGAACTTCGTTACCAACTTCGATCAGAAATACAAGTCAGATGATGCAGTTCTCTGGTACACAAAACAATGTTTCGTCTACAAGCTGATCAACAAAGCACTGAGAACAGAAGATATTGATCAACTGCGTACCTTTCGCTTCTTCATCTCAGATCTCTGTTCGAATCTGGCTCATAAACACAACCAGTCACGTCATTCGTCACCGATGCGTTTATATCGTGGTGTGAAACTGTCGAATGAAGAGCTTGAAGTGTTGAGAAGCAACGAAGGTCAATTAATGTCTACCAATGGATTTTTCTCAACAACTCGCTCTCATGAACTCGCCATCCGTTTCGCGTCTAAACCAACGAAACGAACAGATGTTGTGGCAGTCGTATTTGACATTGAAGTGGATATGAGTAAAACAAGCACTGTGTTTGCTGACATTGCTGACTTGAGTGCTTTCCCTGACGAGCAAGAGGTGTTATTCGATCTGGGTGCAGTCTTTGAGATCTGTTCGGTCAAGCTTGATGAGAAGCAGTATATTTGGCTGATCAAGATGCAAGCAAGTGACAAAGGGACAGAAGTGACACGAGAGTATATTACAGTGAATCAGAAAGAGCTGGAGGAGACGAGTGTGGGGCCTGGATCTCTGCTTGATAACATAGGTGAATATAAAAATTATTGCAGTATTTTGAAAGTTTTTAGTGAATCCAAAACGCAAAAATGTAGCTCGAATCTATTGTGAGATCAACTGTGTATACCGCTTCAAAGGCGAGTATGAGAAGGCGATGAAGAATTTTGAGGTGTCCTGTAGATAAGACGAGTGCGCATGCGTCACGTGCCAAAGAGACAGCATGAGTGTTGAGAGGTATGGGCGGTGCCTTTCACGAAAGAGCACAGTAGAATGAAGCTCTGAAAGAGTATAAACAAACTCTAGAGATTTACGAAGAATATTATCCAAATGAAGATAGAGGCACGGCAGATACTCTCAATAATGTTGGTGTTCTGTATGGCAGCATGGATGAATATGATCGTGTACTCGACTATCTTCGTCAAGCTCTGAGAATACTTGAATCAATTCATCAAAATCATCCAGAAACAGCTGCAAGGCAATATTTATTGATGAGAACAAGTCGATGGGATGTCTGAAAATGAGAGGGCTGTGTCTGAAGTCTGATCATATCGATATTATGAGTTTACCTTCGTTCTAGTATCGTCTCAACAAGATGAACGATACGTTCATCCATCGATTGATCGTCTTATATGCATGAAAGCAGGTGTTACAGTTCGAAAACTACCATCGTCTACTCAACAATATTCCACTCTTCCTCAAACAATGCCCGTACCTGAGCAACAACAATCAAATTCATCATCGCGGTTATTTCCAAAATTATTTGGTAATAAAAAGTTAGAATCAATTTTGGCTCGTTTAGATGACCCTCATATGAATCCACAACTAGTGGAAAATATGGATGAGTCAAATCCAAATATTGTACTCGAATATTTATTAGAGTCAAATAAATATACTCAAATAACCAATAATTTGTCCGACGATGATATTACAATTATACTTAAATATTTTAACGATTTTCTAGCAAAAAATTATCAAGGTATGTCTATATATAAGTGAATTTAGTTTCTCCATTTGATTAAACAAGAAATATTCTCATCTAGGTAATTTTCAAAAGTTACGTGAATTAAAGATTTACAAACCATTGTGGGGTTTATCATCATCCATGTCATCTGAATTTGACCATTCATCTTCGAAAATTTATCACCAACAACAATTGTGTTGTTCTCTCGAGCAATTCAACTATGTTTACATTCTCAATGAAGATTGGTCAAATTTGATGCGTCGTTCGTTTAAAAAAAACTTTTTTACCGAACAATTTCATGAGAAAAAGAGTGTCTTGTTAATGCAAAAAAAAATTGAACCATTAACAAAAATATTTGTCCATTTACGTTTTCATATACCAACAGATATGGATATATTCTTACAATTATGTTTGCCAGGTTTTCGTAAACTCGATGTTAAGTCACAATCAAACTTATTGAAATATTTTTCCGATGATATTGATGAAAAATTGTTCCAGCATGAAAAAGAACAATGTCGAAAGTTATTGCATGACAAATTGGAAATATATTCACAATCAACATCAGAAGACAAACAACATTTTATGCAAACAAGATCTTCAGTAAGTAGTCCATTAATTCGCTTGTTTAAAATCGATCTGTAATTCGACTCTTTTTTCTAGCGTGA